AGAGAGAGAGAGAGGTACCTGATGAGGAGGCGCAATTGTCAAGGAGGCGGAGTGGAGGCATGGATGAGCAGTCATGGAGGAGGCGGAAGCATAGAGTACAGTGGCATGAGAGTGCTGAAGAAGCGAGAGGGGCAGGTTGGGGGAGGTTCCTTTTTTAAGTTTTGTGGTTTTCCACTAAACTTTTTTAAAGCGCAACAGTGGGAAAAACAACAATATAAAGAACTTTTTTATGCATCTTACATTTTTTATCAAACATAAAACATGAATAGTACAGGTAAGTTCTTTCTTCGGGTAACTAACTTCCTTTTATCAAACGTGCTCTTAGAGAGAGACGAAGAAGGTAGAGGCGGTGGCTGATTGAGTGGCTGCTTTGGGAAGACAACTGACGTGATGGACAATGATGACATTGAGGGGTTTAATGCAAAGGATATTTATTAAGAGATTTTGGGGGTCATGTAATAGAGGGGGGATTTATTGAATCTTCCATAACGGCGGGCATTAAACACTACTAATGGTTATATATATATAGGATATACCGGAACGATACACCGAAACACAGTGGTGTATGCACCAGAACATAGTGGTGTGTTATGAGAGGTAGATTGTGATAGTGGATACAAAGACTAGAGCAAATTTTCAAGCCAAAAAACAAGGCAAAATGGTCACCTTCAACAAACCACTTGCTAAAAACCAAGCTAAGTGAATAAGTTACAATCCTTTTACATAACAATTACGACCATTTCTAGCCTTGTATAACCACTGTAAATAAACTAAAAAACCAACCCCTTATGGGGCAATTACATATAAAGCAAGACTAGCTTATGAATTACACTTCCATAGCACAAATTACATAAACTATGTCCCAAAGCTTAAATACATCACGCAACTAACCTAAACAAAATTCTAAAGAATAAAATCAACTAAATAGGGAATTAGAAGGCCAAATTAAAATGGAAGCCATGTTTCGAGCCCCTTGTGCTGGGGCCACACAATCAGGCCCTATAAGGACTTAATTTTGTCCTTTCGGATTGTACAAAAGTCAGTTCAATCTCACAGGAGTGTCTAATCCAAATGGGAAGAAATTACATACCTTAAAATCACTTCTTAAGATCTCAACACACTGGCATTATCATCCAAAACAGATTGAAAAAGGTTTGAATCGAATTGGATAAAGAACAAGAGAGTTATGGCCAAACTACATACGGTGGTCCCTCGGACCACCAGAACAGTATTGTATGGAAAGATTATGAACCCCCATAAGTAAAAACGTGATGAAAAAGTTCTGAAAATGGAGTGACACTTTGAGACTAAATAATTTGATGGGTTTGAAGCAAAGTAATTAATGTATACTATGCATGAACATGGATTCTCATGCATAAAGGCTATAACTCATGAAGGACCACACTATGAATAAGCATGATGAAAAAGATGATCAAATGGGGATTCTAAGATCAATGAAACTTTTCTAAATTCAAAACTCCAGCAACTATAGATGCCAAGGATATGATCTTATAAGAAAAGAAAATTCAATGGAGTTTACCTTGATAAATGCACACTATGGACTTAAGCATAAGAAAGGAGGACCACTATCAAGATCACCATTAATGGAACTCT